CACATAGAGGTGGGTAGAATCACTAAGACTAAGACCAAAAAATTTGAACACACACTAAAAAAAATCCATTCCAGACGTAGATTTAGTTCATTATGATATAAATATCATAGCCCTATCAATTCATCAGTCTCTCACTCACGCAGGCTCTACCCATCTTCTAGACATAGATCTAAGCCTTTGCTCAGTTTTCAACCACTGCAAACTACACCACCTTATATATTATTCTCTTCCTTCATTTCTTGCCAGATTTTCATGCAAATAAATACAAAAAGAACACAGAGATTCTTCCCAGTATTTCCCCCATTAGCCACCGGATCACCAGGTTCACCGTTTCCGAGTCTCACGGAATAATTCAAAGCTGATTACTTCATTCTTATAGAAAATGAACTGATCTTTCTACTGGTACCTTCTTTGAGCCAGTATTTGACATTAAAAAATGATCTTCAAAATCTTTGACAGTATTTTTAAAGGCTGTCTAAACGCCAAAGGCCAAAAATATACCAAGGGATGAAAGCCCATCGAAAGCTCTACAGTTCTCCGCTAACGAAAAGCCGGTATTTAATCATCAATCTTTCAGCGAAGCATTTGAAAGCACGAGTGTGTCAATTTTTTAACCAGCCGACCACACATTCCGACCGCGAGGGGCTTCACATTCCACGGTGATTTTCCAGCTCTTAATAATCTGACATATAAACAACTTACACCATTGTAACGAGGAAAAGCTGAACTTTTATAAGGTGTACGGCATTTGGAGTTTTATAGCCAAAGAGCAAAGAAACAGCGATCCAAATTACCCCGATACTACGTGCTCGGAAGGCCGGGGGTGCCCGCGAGGCCGAGTTGACGCTACCTACTCCACACTGCAAACACAAGTGTGCCAATACATGATCACATTTCACACTTGTTCAATCAATGCTTACCGTCCGACATCGATACAGTAGTCACCACGGATGGTGCCTGGCTCAGAGGCAAGAGGGTTGGTCGCACCCAGCATTTTCCTGCCCATTTTGACAACCTCTTTGCCTTCCCACACCTGAAGAAATAGGATGAAATAGAATCAAAATCCAAGACAATAATAAAACATGTGGATATAACGTGTGGATACACCCGAGATCTCGGATTGATTGTTTTCTTTTACTGAACCTCTTGAAATTTCTATATATGCATTTAAATTTATAAATGTTTTGTTAAAATTTATACTTTATATAAATAATAAAATATAATAGTTTCTGGGGGGGTTATTGAATGAAAATGCATAAATTCTATGGGAATTATATCAGCTTTAATCCTTTTCTTTTTAATCAACTTGCATTTGTTTTAATATATTGATGTTTTGTTTTTTGACGTCAACTGAATGAAACTTTTTTTTTCGTTGTAAACGGCAAATTACCCTCAGTATTACGATAGTATTAGTACCAGTACCGGGTTGGCTACCTAAATTTTCTGTGAAGTTAAAACTTTTGTACATTGGTTTATATTTTTTTTATGAAACTGGTTTGTTCCTAAATGGGAAAAGTTGTCACAGTAACTTACTAAAATGTCATGATCTCTTGTTCTTTTATTCACTTTTTTGGGGGGGGAAAGTGTTTTACGGCACTTGCAACTGCATAAGGTCATATGAGTGTGCGGGACACATTTTCATTTAAAAACTTTTTCAGTTGGTAGGAAATTATGAATTTTGCCAGGGTGGTGGCCGAAGCCTACTGTTTATCGATTTTAAACCATTAAGGGATCTTTAATGAGCACAACTTGCACACGGGCCCTCTAAGATTTTTCGCCCTTGCCTGAGAAGGCTAGGCAAAAGACCAGGGGTGTGGCTGAAGGACATCAGTAAGAAGAAGCCAAGGAGTACCGGGTAGCAGTAGAAAGGCTGCACAAAGAGTCAGGAGCCAAGAAGAGGCGACAAAGGAGGAGAGGACAGAAAGAGGAGACGAAAGCAGACGACAGAACATTGCCAGTGAGCAGGAAAGGAGGTGAAAGGAGACAATTTTAAAGAGGAAAATTTTTTGGTTGCTACCCGGATTCGAACCGGGCCTTTGAATGAGAGGCGAACACCTTAAACTCTAGACCATGGGAGCCCCCTGTTATTCACTGAGAAAAACCCATTTGTTCCTACTACTACTACTACAGGGGTATGGTCTGAGGTTGAATGTGCTTCTCCCCCCCCCCCTCCCCAAAACAAATTTTAAAAATATATTTAATTTGGACCACTTGTCCACCCCTTTATTCGGTACCTTAAGAGTATGTATTCGTAATGAACAAATTTTAAAAAATCAAAATTAGTAATCGAAAGAAATCTGGCTTTAAAATTCACAATTTGGCAATGTGTCATCTTCTCCCCCCGCGTGTTCAGGACAGGGGCTGCAGTCAAGCAAGTAGAAAAATAATGCAAAAAACGGCATGATGAAAAAAGCGGTAACTCTTCACAGGTCGAGAAAGAAGAAAAGAAGGCTATTTTAAGTTTCAAACAATCCGCTGTAAAACAAATCTCTAATGGCCTTGGCTGCGACATGCAGCACAAAAAGATTAGAGTAAACTCCCTACTCTGTCACACGTTTCAGTATTTACACATTTTGAAGCTCAATAAAACAAAATCTATGCTACCAATTACTTTCAAATTTACACACTGATTACGTGATATACCTGTCGCTGGTGAGCTGCTTTCAGATTTCTGAACGCGCGAGTGGTTTTGTAACTGCATGCGTGTTACATGTTTTGTCTTTTTTTAGAATTACTTATGATACGGCAATGATTTGTTTAAAAAAGAAGCACACTTCAAAGCTTTGACATTTTCGTGTAACAATTCGCCAGTGTTAAAACTTCTTAAGTCTACGTTTCATCATGCCACGCCCAAAGACAAAATGTGCGAAATCAGCTTGTTGGAATGATTCGCGGGGGTGCCTCGGTCTCCGCTGTTGCCAGATATTATAATGTAACAAGAAGACCTGTGTACACAACAATGGATCGTGAGAAAACAACAAAATAAGGAAAGGATCGACACTGCCAATGTGGGAGAAAAAAAACTACTCCCAAGAGAGAATTTTTTATACGCCTGTCGCATCTACGGAATCGTTTCAAAACCGCAAGACAAACCAGAGATGAGTCGAACAACATGCGACAACACCAGCCTCAGACACTTCCTCAACTTGAGAGAGTATCGCATGAAGAGTAGAATAACATTCCTCAACAGGCAGTGCAGCGATTGATTGATTCAAGGCGGCGACAATGTCAGGCCGTCATCAGCGCTACTGACCGTGTTACTTTTGTAGAACACCCTCACACTCTTGTAAGTCGGGAATAAATCTGTTATGTCAACATTCCGCTTTGTTGTTGTTGTTTTCGTTTTAAAAATTGATTGAACTCGTATTCCTGAAATTTTAAAGAATATCGACTCATTGTGAAACTATTTTAATTTTAACACAGTGTATACTTGAAATGTGACAGAGTATAACTCTCAACCAATCTAGTAAAAAATTGTGTGAACCCTCGGATTTAAATCTTTTTATTTTATTTTTTTAGTAGAAGGTTTTACGGCACTCGCAACAGAACTGCAAGATCATATATATATCAAGGCACCCCGGAAATACCGGGTCACAAGAGAGTGACAAACATACAAAAGAAATAGAGGGCAATGACAATAGTAAGGATTAAGAAAGAAAAAGCAGCACAGTTCCCTGTTGTAGATCAGGCACAGTTATGAGCGTGGCATGAGTCAGCCCATTTACAATTCTACTGTGCTTGAACAAGAAATGTCCCCCCTTTGGGAATGGCCTAAAGACACTGCAGTCGGTGGCACTGCCCGGGGGGGAGGGCTTTAATTCTTATAAAGAGAAACAAAAACTCTCAATTTACCATTGCAAACACAGGTCCTGAGCTCATGTACTCAACAAGGCCGGGGAAGAATGGCTTGTCCGACAGGTCTTTGTAGTGATTCCTCAACAGATCCTTGGGAGCCTGGGGAAGACAAAATAACAGGCATGAAGAAAACAAAATCAAATGAGCAGATTGTGAACATTTTTAGGAACATACAATTGAGCACAACAGTAAAGTTCCCAACTTGCAAAAAACAAATTTCACAGAGGTCTCGAACAATACTTTATTCCCAGACTGAACTGTTATTTCCTTGTAATGGTGGCATCCCTGGATTACAATCCCATGGGAAGGACTTCCGAGACGAGCAACCACCCCAACAAAGAAAACAAAGAAGAGACCTAACCCTAACCCTAACCGTGACCCAACCCTACCCTAACCCCTCTATTCTAGAGCTATACACTGTTTCATTGTGGTTGCTCGTTACAGAATTCCTCTCATCCCCTATATCATGTATTAACAGCTCGTCTCAAATTCCCCAATATAACAAGAGATGGCTAAACGCACCCATCATCATCACTGATGATCAGATTCACGAGCGGATAGCTAGAGAACAACAACTAAACACTATTGGCCGATATTTCTAGAAACAGCCATCGTATTTGACGTCATCGAAGGATTCCCACTTCGACATTCATGGTGGCAACACGACCGAACGGGGGCAGCCTGCCGACTCGGACTAGATCTATTTTCTTTGCAACTTGCAGAACTGTTCAGTTGGGTTGTCTGTCATAGTGCAGCACCCTTCTTACTTCTTCCGCCCAGATTGATTCTGATGCTGTACACTATGTCAACTGAGAGAAAGAAGAAGACTAAGAGTAGGCCTATGTCCGAAAGCAAGTTCAAACAAAGTTCAACGACGCAGTGCAAATGATCGACCAGTTCAATCCGGATCTTTTCTTTTAAAAAGTTTTGTAAGCACAAGAAATTAAGCGCACTTTTAATTATAAGAGATTGGACTCGATAGGACGCTGAGCTGCAAATGGAGTCTTTTTTGCCTCTTCTTTCTTCAACATTTAGGGTTTGGAGCCAAATCCAAATGAAATTCTCAAGGCCAGACACGATCGAAAAGAGCCAAATTTCTGGGATGTGGCTCCAAACTGACTGTGACTATTCCGACACGAACAGTGACAAACATGATGCTGTGGAACATCAGCCTTGCCACCCCCACCCCCAGGGCCATATGCCCGCTAACCTCAGCCCTGATCCCTCTAGGGTCATTTCAGGTGAAACGAGGGTGTGAGAAGAAAAGCGAGACATGGGTTAATAAGAAGGAAGTGGCTATTCTCACCCGCCCGGAAGTTCTCGCAAGATCTATTCCTCCCCTCTTCTCTCTCTCTGTCTCTTTCTGAATACTGTCTATCGGTGTGGACGATCAAATTGACCAAAACAAAGTTAAAAAATGATGTTAAAACACAAAAGTAAATTAATTTGGTTGTCTCTACAAAGATGCTACGGCTATTATTTAACTTTTCGAATCGAGCCGAACTACGCGGGTCGCCATTTTGTTTTGCTTTGCCCGGAAGTTCTCGCGCTAGGCCTACTCCTCTCTATCTCTCTCCACTGCCCACAGACAAAATTGTACGCTTTTAGTAGGCTACAGTTGTAATGGGACGTTTGTTCACGGCACAGAATTCTACAATTTTTCTGTTATAACAGTGTAGAATTCTGTGGTTTAGGGTGAACGCAAAATTTGTTGGCCTAGATCTAGATCTAGATCTAGGCTATAACGGTGAACGCGCACCGGGTGAGAATCGCCAAAAGACTCGCCTGCACTATTCAATATTCTCACCCCGATAGAGGTGGCCTAATGAGAACCCCTTCTGATGGAATATTCTAGATTCTAGATCTATGGCATGGGCATCATGGCCATGAAAGTGTCAAAAATGGCATCCAATCAATTATCTCTCTAGAGTCTAAAGACTTGAGACAGTGCTTTATAACTCAACTCCATATACTACAGTACAGCTTACAGATGGGAAAGGGCCTGGGAAAGTACAATAGTTAGGTCAAGGATAGAACACTATTCCCCAATCTCTGTATCACAACACTCTCACTCAAGGGGAATCTGTTCCCACCTCTAGATCTATATCTAAATTCTTCTATACTGTAGGTCACCCGTGACAAAGACGTGAACATCTGCTCCTGACAGTCACACAGTGTGAGACCGACTGCCAGACAAAACGGAAGACCGAAGACTAAGAGAGCGAAGGTTAAAGATCTCCAACCCATGAGGAGGATGTTACAGCCGTGAGTTCACAGCAGACGCACTTCAGTTTAGCGAATAGATCTCTAGAAATCTACAGCGTCTAGGATAAAAAGATGCCGGCCGGTGAGCGACACGGTGATGGCGTTCGATCCATCCCACGAGTGAGTGACCGGACCGACTGCTAGCGGTTCTCCGGTTGTTAGGTGATCCAGGCTTTACGGCTTCTATCTCTACCACTTACCCACATCAACTTTCCTGCCACCAGCTTGTAGCCTCTCTGTTCAAATCGCTTGACGATTTCACCAATAAGTCCCCTTTGGACGCCATCAGGCTTGACAGCAATGAAAGTACGCTCGGCTCTTGGATCAGTCATTTTGTTGGCAAAGACTGAGAGGACTGACAGGAGTGTAGCGACCATGCGTGCTGAGCCGAAAGGAAAAAGGGAAGTCATATCTGGCTGGATCACGTGACATGATGACGTTATGCGCTAACGGGCTGCCAACTCTACGTGATTTTTCTGACAGTTAAGGCCAGGCTTGGGCGGAAACGTCAGTGAAACATTTTCCGAGGATTCACGAGAACAGACCAGTTGTTTAGATGTGGTTTATATCCTCTCATTACATTAGATTTACAGTCTACCATAATACGATACAAAGTGTTCTCTATCAGCTCATATAGTTCTCAAGCTCACATGTTCGTACCTCTTTAAAAAACCCAGTTCCATCAATAAATCGCGCAGAAAACCTCAGATCAATACAATATAATCTTTGTTTAGTTTGGATGAAGAGAACATTGAAACAACCCACGTCATTTGATTAAGGTGTGATCAAGCCTGATAGACAGACGAGAGAGAGAGAAAGAGAGAGGGAGAGAGAGAGGGGGGGGGGAGAGAGAGTTAAGTATAATGGTTACCGTGACAGTTTGGCAATCTCAACCAGTAGGATAATGTAGCCAATGTGTACATGTAATAGGATAGTGTAGATAGGCCTACCATTTCCACAAGAGATATTAGTGGGTGAGAGACAGAGACTAAAAAACAACAACCAAAAAACAACGAAAATACCCCCTAATTGCCAAGCAAATAAAAATGTGAGGCAGCGTGGTGGAACCAGGCTCTCGTCAAAATAATGAAATCGAAGAAAACAGCATTCCTCCAGCTTAGCAATTTTTATCAAATTTTTGTTTTTTGGCTCAACACCTTTTATGTCCATTTACAAATACATTCCTTTCAGGATTTCACCGTAAACGTTAATTATAAAAGCACAAAAATATAAATTTACAGTTTCCATGTACTCTCAGGCTTTGGAATTTATCAAGCTTTGGGGGCCATTTTCTCGCTTATTTTACCTCTTGAACTAGGTGACCCCCACCTCCTTCAATTAAAATATATCCACTTCTATTGAAGATGGATGTGTAATTTTTTCATTGAAAGCAAGACTAATGAACAAGCTTTAAGATGATACCAATAACTCAATATGCCCAAAAATTGACGAGAGCCTGATTCCACCACGCTGCCTCTCAAATCAAATACATCATAGTATTCAGGGGCAGCTAGTGGGTCTAAAAAGTGGGCATGCACAATTAAGCTATCACAGGCTGAAGATTGTCAAGGGCATGGTAAATGAGATGGTGCATAATTTTAGGATCTTTGGGTTGGTGAGAGAGGACCTATCGTGCTTTTATTTTCATTCTTTTTACTTGTCACTTTAATTTCTAGAACTTAAAATCTGTTCGTTAGCGAAATATCAAATTCGTTCATCATGAAAACTGAACACTCCAGAAATAACTTTCCCCACTCCACTACAAAACCATTCAAAGGCACAACTCATAGGATGGTAACGTTCACCTCCCTCGGGTTCACGGTCACAGAGTCACTTAAAATATCGGCAAGATGATGAGCCAACCTTAGTTCACTTGAGCACTCCGCTGTATTGCTCCGAGGCTCACATACTTTTGGCATTGGATAGCGTACAGTCTATCGGGTTTATTTTTAGACTGCCTACTAAGGGCTATGTTTCGGCACTATTCGGCAGGAGCACATTTGAGATGTGCCGGCTTATTAATATTAATGTACCTCCAAACTCGCTACGAGTGTCGTCATCACTTGGGTTATCCCAAAGAGCGATTTATAGGTCAGGTTACCACTGTTGAATATCTTATTGTGTTTAGTTAAACCGTGTGGACTTTGGCATGGCATAGTAGAAGTTTTACGGCGCTATAGACTCAGAAATGACAGCTACGGCGCCAGTGAAGACCTAGTTTTTTAAATCATATTTGGCTAGTGCTTGTTTCTTTTCTATTGTTTGTGGGTGCTGTACGTCATAGAATAGTTACAACATTTGGGCGGCACTGCACGACCGTGCTCAATGGACGAACCGCGCATGGTAGTATAGATATCGAATTGGGAGATTCAATAGACAGTGAAACTACATTTTGGGAGATTTAGCATCGATACATTTTAATAATCAATTAGAACTATGTACTCTTGTTTAGTGGGCTTGAAAAAAAAAACGCCAACAAAAAGCAACAATTCAACTGAACTTCTGCAAAACTAAACGCGCCTTCTTTTCCGTCCTTAAAAATTAAAAGAAAACAGAGTGACCAAAGGCAGGGGTTTGTTGTGTTTATTTCTGCCCCCCCCCCCCCCCTCATCCCCTGGTCCCCGGTACATCTAATCAAAGCTGATCGACCTGACATTATTGTAGTAGCATCCGTGGAAAGGAAAAACAGCAATTATTATACTCTATTGCTTGTGTTAAAAGATTTCCCCTTTCGTGTGAAAAGGCCCAGTAGGCTTCGACTGTGCTCTGCATGATGGAAGTTATCACTGACACTCTCAAAAAGAGTAAATTAATGATTGATATTGGTTGTAAGAATTGAATTTTATTTTTCAATTGTTTTAAACGAAAGAACATTCCTTGTTGACATTTTACAGAATAATTTAAATTCGCTTTGATTTGCATACAAAAAGGAAGAAATATTGAACAATACAAGCTGATATTGACATTTTAGAAGGACTATCTCTACCGCCAATTTGAAGGTGGAGAAAACCCCCCCCCACTTAACTACAGTGTTAAAGTGCTGTAAGTATGACTGTCATCAATACTTAAAATGAAATTGTGACAAATTAACTGAGCCGGTGACAAACTGGGCAGCCCCCGTTTCTTCTACTCCTATTCTTTTAAAGTAATCAACAGATAGAAATCTAGGCCATCATGCAAGCTTCAAAGTAATGAACTAAAAATCAATCCGGCCCTCGCAGCCTTTGCACGCCTGACACTCAACAGAAGATCTACTCAACATAATGAACTAGCAGACCACCCCCTCGCCCCCCAACCTCGTTTCTTCTTTCTCTTTTTCACTGGAATCACTGCAAGGTTGTTTCGTGACAGATTTCCCTCCCTTCTTTTATCTTTCGTGCGAATAGGCCTCATCAGCTGCTTCGCCGGCACTTTAATAATTATTAATCAAACTATACTAAACCGTCAGCCATGCTAACTCTTTAAAATATATGAATTCAGCAACAAAATCATAAACCAAATTATAGTTTTAAAAGTTCATAGCCTATTGAATAGTTAGCTAGCGCACCAAGCCTTGGGGTGCAAGCGGAAGAAGCCTTAACCCCGTATCTTTTATTCACTGCGAAACTAGTTTGTTGTGTGGTTGCTGCATACTATTCTTGACTCGAACGTAAGTTATCTCCTGACCTGTAGGCTACCTATTGCTGTATTTTTTCCCCTGCTACTTTTTACAGCCTTAATTTATCTAGATTTTCTAGATCTAGATTCTACGTAGTTTTTTTCCTTATTATTAATTTAAAGAAGAGTGATGGATGTTCACAGTCTGTTTATTTTCTTTCGGGGGATACAGACCAGACCTTTGCCTTTGCCTTTACTACACTACACTCACTCATGACTCGGTAACACTGATTGAGATTGTAAACTGCAATGAATGAATTATTCAAATGATTGAGAAGTCGGCGCTTTTTCGGTAGTTCCCACCCCTCAATTGTTGTTCGTGGGTTTTGGCCCCAAGAGTAGGGGGGGTTTCAGGGGGCAAGCCGGTGCTTTTTCGGTAGTTCCACTGCTCCCCTTATTTGAGCCTGACCAACAGATTCTAGATCTATATGTTTGATGCACGGCAAGTTAAGATGTCAAACCTAACAACAGCAAAACATTAAATTGTGGTAAAATTCAGGGGGCAAACCCCCCTGAAACCCCCCTACTCTTGGGGCCAAAACCGGCGAATAATAATTGTGGGGTGGGAACTACCAAAAAAGCGCCGGCAAGCGCCCCTGACCTGATAAAAATAGGGTGGAGGGGTTCATGCCCCCCTGATTTTACCATAGTTTGATGTTTTGCAGTTGTTAGGTTTGATATCTTAGCTCGCCGCGCATCAAACGTATAGATCTTGATGTAGATCTAGGTCTAGGCTCAAATAAGGGGGGTGGGAACTACCGAAAAAACACCGAGAAGTCTTGGTACAACTTAACTCTTTCGCTACGCTGAGCCGTGGGGGGGCGGTGCAGCTAAAGTGCCGTCAGTACGCTAAGCCGCCCCCGGCGGCTCGAGAACCAATCTTCAATTTTAGCTTAGATTCTATTCCAATCCACATATATCCATGTTAAAATAAAGGTCATAATATAATGTTGACTTTCGGGTCAAGCATTTCCACTGAAAATCGGAAGTTTAGATTCAGTTGTGAAACGCGATTTCGTAGTTTATTCGACTTTGTTTTATCGCCATGCCAATATTATAGCCGGACACCAGTCTTAGTAATTTTACACTACAAAATCTATCATTATTTTGCCCACTAAAGAAGTGTAGGACTCTTTTTTATAATATTGAACGATAGTTCAAGTTCAAGGTACCAGAATTTAACTTTTTATCTCCGTGGGGGGTCAACCCGCAATGCCAGGGTTCTTTTTGGTAGTAAATCTAAAAAAGACAAAAACGTCATTAAATGGGCCATTAAATCAACGTCAACAAGTCCACCTATTTCGATAGTTTTTTATATCTACCAATGAATGAACTCCCGGTAAAAGACACCTATTACGGCGAAGTTGTGGTAAAGGAATGTGCCTAAGCCGCTGCGACTCACCGGCACAGCTGTCCCGTCCACCAGCCGCTGGGTGCGGCTTGCCAGAGATAAAGAGTTAAGAATGCTTTAAAAGCAAAGAAAAAAAATAATTTTAAAAAAAGATGAAACAAATGCCACTTGACTTAAAAAATATTGTCAATATCTTTGCAAATTGATGGCAGTGTAGGAACTTCTTTTACATGCCGTTTTTTGTGTTTGTTAAAATACGTGAACCATGCTTTTGGTTTTGTTTTTGGCATGGCATATGCAGGGATGAATGTGAAAGTAGACATAAGTCTAGAAAAACAGGAGGATCGTATTGATTGTAGTGCCTTGAAAGCTTGGTAGAAAAGCTAGATCTAGATCACAGATTTACTGTAAGTCGTAAGTTGCTGTGGATGAATGGAGTGCCGCAGAGCTGCAGTCAAACAAAGAGTTAGATTGCTTGCTTCTTGTCTTCCTCCTTCTCTGTAGTAATCTTAAAAGATCATCTTCAGTAAAATTTCAACGAAATTTCATTATATTGATAGCTTAAATGGTTTGGGCACAATGCATGTCTAAAGTTACTGTGTCGAGCTCAAACACTTTTTTTTACCCCAGCTTGTGCAAGCCAGGACAAGCGTACTGCCTGTGGCCGTACTGGGGGAATCTGTAGATATATAGGGAGAAAGGGATGGGTGAATAGGGTTAATCTGTAGAAATAGGGAGAAAGGGATGGGTGAATAGGGTTAATCTGTAGATATAGGGATAAGGGGATGGGTGAATAGGGTTAATCTGTAGAAATAGGGAGAAAGGGATGGATGAATAGGGTGAATCTGTAGAAATAGGGAGAAAGGGATGGGTGAATAGGGTTAATCTGTAGATATAGGGATAAGGGGATGGGTGAATAGGGTTAATCTGTAGAAATAGGGAGAAAGGGATGGATGAATAGGGTGAATCTGTAGAAATAGAGATAAAGGGATGGGTGAATAGGTTTAATCTGTAGATATAGGGAGAAAGGGATGGGTGAATAGGTTTAATCTGTAGGTATAGTGATAAAGGGATGGATACTAGTCAGCTACTGTCCAAGTGGACGTATCTAGATCTAGTGAAGCCTATAAGAATACAAGTAGAGTCTTTCATCTCCCTCGTAATCCTCAGAATGGTGCTTACTTCTCTCTCCTTTTTCTCTCGTATTGTAATAACTATCTGTTTACTTGTCTGTCTGCTTTTGTCTTGTATCTGTGTCTGTATATTTTGTATGTCTATTCTCTTAGAAACACAGTTGCTACACAGTGATAGACCTATCTGTCAATTGAAGTTCTGAGATCATGAGAGAACAATTTAGATAACAAGCAGGTTGTTCAACTTAAGGAATGGTTTTTGCTTCTGCCAAGCCTTGTTATAAGTTAAGTGTTTGAGATGTGTTGCACCATCATCTGCCAAGTGTTTGAGATGTGTTGTCCTTGCTAAACTAGAGCAACAGCGCCAGTGAAAGTGAACCTACTACCTTCCCCCGCCCCATCCCAGCCCGCCACCCTTGTCTTGTCATGTAGATTTCTGGTAACATGTGCTGACATTTAGCTTACTTTCACCATAGCAGTCCATCTTCAGGCCAGTTTGGGTAGTATTGTATGCTTGCAATTTAAAAGAACCCAACCAAAATTGCTGAAAAAGAAGGGATACATATATATATATATATATATATATATATATATATATAAGGGATACATGAAATACAAAATGGTGAAATGATATGGCTTTAACGCCCCTATCAACACTATTAGGTTGTTTAAGAGGCGGGACCTCCTAGTTTAACGTCCGTCTCAGAAAGGACCGAGCCAAGTGGGAAGTTCGTATAAAGTGCCTTACCCAAGGACACAACGTCGGACCGAGCTGAGGCTCGAACCCCCGAACCCGGAATCTCACATGTAATAATATATATATATATATATATAAGTAATAGAAAGGAGCGACACAGCTGTTGTATGTTCTGGACCTGGATGACGGAATCTCACATGTATATTATTATTTATTATATATATAAGTTATAGAAAGGAGCGACACAGCTGTTGTATGTTCTGGACCTGGAGGACGGAGGGAGACCCTTGGGCTAATAGTTCATTTTGGCTTTTTGATATTTTCCAGAGATTTTGGTGAAGTATTGTTTCTTGTTGTACATTTTTTAGCTGTTTATGATTTTTTTTTCCAGGATTGTCAAGTGCTTTATAATTATTGCTGCAACACACGTTGGAATAAACACTCCAGGATTATAATTATTGCTGCAACACACGTTGGAATAAATGCTCCAGGATTATAATTATTGCTGCAACACACGTTGGAATAAATGCTCCAGGATTATAATTATTGCTGCAACACATGTTGGAATAAACGCTCCAGGATTATAATTATAGCTACAACGCACACTGGACTAAACCTTGCAACCTCCCAAGATGATGGAGCTGGACTTAACTCGTGTTGACTACCTGCAGGTAAGTTCTGGACTATGCTGCAGATGACTATGGTTCAAATCCTCATTGATTCTTTTTTTAAACTCTATTTCTGTACAAACACCCTCCATATACTGAGTACTGTACAAACACCGTCCATATACTGAGTACTGTACAAACACCTATATACTGAGTACTGTACAAACACCCTCCATTTGTGTCAAGTTCATGGAAAGGTCTCTGGCCTCATTGTCTTCAGCAAAGGGTGGTCAACCCTGATGACCAACCCCAGTGGCACGAGGCATGTCGCACGAGGCATGTCGCGTTCACTTATTGACCTATCGTGAGTCTCAAGATCTTCGTTTATCCAGCTGCCCCTCCCCTGTACCTGTCCAAAACTTTCCATCTCTGACCGAGTTCCCCCACCTTTGTCGCCCCCCCCCCCCACTTTATGTTGTGACAACACCAATAATTCAGTCTGTCTTGCAAATTTGGGGGTAGAAACAACTGTTGCAATGACCAGGGAAGAGTTCACAGTTCAATGTGATCCCGCCTGGAGAGAACTTGTAGGCCCTACCCACCCAGCGAGTGATGTAAGGTTAGGTGGAGAGCTCAGAATATGAGTGCGATGTTTGGGGTAAACAAACGCGTCGGTCAGTTCACACCTCAGTGTGATCCCATCTGGGGCAAACATTGTACCGTTTCATCAAGACTTACAACGGACATGTGATCACTTTCACGAGAGTGGCTAATATTTGACACGGCAGGGAATTCAATGATCTCATCTTTTTACTCTTGGTTGATCGGCTGTGCCCGCTCAGGCTTCCCAGCCTCTGACTTAAAGATCTGCTCGGTTTATTGGATGAAGCCGGTCACTTTTGTCATCTACACATCCTTGAATAATGGGTAGGACGATTCTAAAAGTCTAGTGAAGACCTGTGTTTGGAACCTAGGAACCTACTGCCCACATCTGGGGACTCCACTCCACATGGGCTCGTGTAACTGGCTGTGACTTTGCCTGAAAGAATCAAATGCTTTCATACTTGGGGTATTGGGGAAGGGGGGGGTGTGTGCTCACTTAGAGTTTGTCTTTTGTGTACTGCTTCATCAGGATCCTTCCATTTCAAATATTCCAGATGCTGTCTGTGTTCCCATTCTGCTTTCAAACGCAGCATTCTTTGGTGCATTTTGATGCTTTTTTAATCTTCCTACAGGCGGGAATAACATGCCCTAAGTCAATGCAAGTCCTGCCCATAGCAGGCAAAACTCAAAAGGTAAGTCAAAGCTAGGATGAGTTTGATGTGTGTTGTGGCTATAGCAATGTTGGTAGGATGAGTTTGATGTGTGTTGTGGCTATAGCAATGTTGATAGGATGAGTTTGATGTGTGTTGGGGCTATAGCAATGTTGGTAGGATGAGTTTGATGTGTGTTGTGGCTATAGCAATGTTGGTAGGATGAGTTTGATGTGTGTTGTGGCTATAGCAATGTTGGTAGGATGAGTTTGATGTGTGTTGTGGCTATAGCAATGTTGGTAGGATTAGTTTGATGTGTGTTGGGGCTATAGCAATGTTGGTAGAATGAGTTTGATGTGTGTTGTGGCTATAGCAATGTTGGTAGGATGAGTTTTATGTGTGTTGTGGCTATAGCAATGTTGGTAGGATGAGTTTGATGTGTGTTGTGGCTATAGCAATGTTGGTAGAATGAGTTTGATGTGTGTTGGGGCTATAGCATTGTTGGTAGAATGGTTCTGTGGAGATCAAAGTGTCTTGTTCTAAACTTCCTTGCCCAATGGTGAAGGAAAATTGTTTTGTGTTTCTTTCGTATTATACTGGGGGGAAGATTCGGGAAGAAGGAAGAAGAAGAACTGAGGACAGATATATGCTTCTGGCAGGACTGGTCATCAATTCTGGCAGGACTGGTCATCAATTCTGGCAGGACTGGTCATCAATTCTGGCAGGACTGGTCGTCAATTCTGGCAGGACTGGTCGTCAATTCTGGCAGGACTGGTCGTCAATATGTTTAGTTAAAAGAAAAAACTTTGTCGTTCTTCTCAGAATTTTGTTGTTGTTGTTGTTGTTGTTGTTGCTCCCTTTGTATTTTTGTAACTGTTTTGAAATGAGTGATTAATGAGGGGTTGTTGTTTTTTTTTGGGGGGGGGGGGGGGGTTT